CTCTCTCTCTCGATGTGTGTGTGTTTGTGTGTGTATTTAATTCCTTATTACCATTCCATTATATATCCAAACCAATGGGAAAAAATAGTTAACAGTTATACTTTGCTTCTGAGCTTCATCATTATTACTTTTGTGATTAGAGTATCATGTTATTTAGTCAGTGCAAGTCTATTGTCTCTATAGAACAGGTTTTTAAAGGGCTTTGTTTATTATAGAGGGATCATCCTTCTCTCCTTCCATCCTTTCTTTCTTTCTTTTCTTTTTTGTAATAACATATGTGCTATATAGTCTACAGTTTCATTACAGTGTATTTCTTACCCATCAGAACCTTGGCTAATCAACCTTGGAAAAAATACTGTCAAAGGAAATGAGGAAGAAATTGTATCTGTGTCCCTCCAGAACTACTATAATTATTCTTTTTTATTTTTTCAGCCATTATAAATGGTTTGTTTTGGAAAACTGAAATCTGTTATATGCATCAACATATAAGTTCAGAATAAAAGATTTAATAATTAAATTCTTAAATTCAGCATTGTTATAAATATTTACTAGGAGTGATCTGTGAAATTTTTATTTTTCTGGTGAAAATTTCTGTTCTCATATCTACTTCCTAGTTGAAAATTGCATGAGACCTGTTACCCTTATTTTGTATCTTGAACATAGGTTTCATCCTAATGGCCATCTTATCTGTAGGCTTTTGGTTATTTGGAAGAACTCAGTAAAAGCAAGTGTGTGTAATTCAGCAGATACATTAGAAATTAACTCAGAGCTGAGTTTGTAACCCAGTGGTAGCAGGTAAGAGACCCTGGATTTGATCCCCAGCATCACCAAAAAAAAAAAAAAAAAAAAAAAACAAAAGAAAAAGAACTCAGAGTATATACCCTAGTAAGAGGAATAGTAGACTCTCATAACATATTCAGAAGAGGTTTTCCCTTCTGTCTGTTTGTGAAATTAGAGCTAAATTGATTATAATGTTCATAACACAGTATATATCAAAATAATTTGTATCATTCATGAGTTGTCTCAGTACTCCAGTTATTTTTCGAATCTCTTTATTTCATGCCATTCTAAACCTTGTTTATTGATAAAATTATGTTTTTACTTACTATTACAAGATATTTTTACATTAATATTTTATATCTAGATTAAATGTTTATGGAAAAGTGCCTTTTTACCTTAAGAGTGCCCCTTTCTTATAATAGTGTTTTTCCTTTGCCACAACCCTGTAAAAACCTGACTTTAATAGGTCCCAACTTTTGCTTTTTCCATTTAGCCATTCTTTCCTCTATTTTTTGACCACCATAGAAAACAACTTCATAAATTCCTTTGGCTTAAGAATAGCAGAAAAGATGGCATTACTAGAATTGATCTTTTAGGGAGAATAAATGAAAGATGACAGAATTATACTCTTTAGGCTTATATAAATTAACTGTAGCACCCCTGGGTCCGTCCAATCCCCAGTAACAACAACAAATATATATATATATATATATATATCTTCATTCTTCATCTCAATCAACTGATGATAGTTCTTATCAGAAAACTAATGAAATTTTGTATATAGTTAAATTTCAAGAAGGAACTATTTAAACATCTTTTCCTATCTTAATTAGATGATGCAATCACTAAAACAGAGGTTGGGTAATGTCAATTTTCTTAACTAAGCAGCAAAGAAGTTTACTTCTTACCCATTAGAACCTCAGTTAATTTGCTTAAGTAAATGTATGTCAGAAGAAATTAATATATTGAGTTCCTTCAGACCTAAGATGATAATTTCCTTTCTACAAGATACACTTGGAGTGTCCTGGTTTTGTTAATTTTACTTCTGTTTCAGCTCCTTAACATGGGGTGGTGCTTGAAGAAAGGGCCACAAGCAACAGGTCAGGACAGAAGTACCTTTGGAGTAGAGCTGCTTTCCCCATGCAGGTAATTTTGTGACTGTTAGTGGCACTGAAGACTGCAAACCTTTATGCAGTATTCTTAATGCCCTATTGACATAATGCACTTTAATCATTCCAAAGAAGCCAAGAATGCTACATAGTAATGATTCCTTCTTTATGAATACATCTTTAACTATTTAGAATACTCTGTCCCTTTTTATTTTGGATAGCTGACTTGGTATAAGTATTGTGGATATTTTCTAAATTGACTTTATAGTAGGCTTTAAGATTTTGAAATGTAACTATAAGGAGAAATTACTACACTTTAGCACATCATTTTAATCTATATATTTGAGACTTAAATAAAACTAAAACTAACCCCTTTCCTGTATATTTTGTGTCATGTATATAGGAACATTTTAGTGTATAGTTTTCTATAAGTATAGTTTATGTAAACCAGTGGTTCTCAAAATATAGTCCTCAGCCCACCAGCTAGCATCAGTATCAGCTGGAAGCTAGTTATCCCAGACATACTGAATCAGGAATTCTGGAATGAAGCCCAGCAGTCTGTAACAAGCTTGCCTAATGATTCTGATGCATACTGAAGTTTGAGAATCAGTGGAAAAAATGATATCTAGTGAGAGCAAGAAAGTTTATTTTCCCACTAATAAAGTTATACATTATTATTATTTATGTAAATTCAGCCTAACATGATTACCTATAATCATTTATTGGCAATGATAATTCTTAGTTGCCTATAAAGTACACATTTTATGTACATATGCAATTAGTGTAGTAATTGATAATTCGGTTAACTTAGTTTGGCATTTTCCTACCACTTACCACAAAGTTTACATTAAATGACTGATTTAAATATATATAGGTGCGGTGTTCTATATTTCTTTTTAGTTGTTATGACATTTAAGTAGCTAAAATAATTGATGGGTGCTAAAGTCTTCTGTTTATCCATAAAATGGGTACATTGTAGGCAGTGTAATACAAACTTTATTTTCATTGCCTCTTACTTTTACCAGCAGACCACAATTTTGCTCTGGCTAGACCAACTCTCAGAACAAAATTATCATTCCTTGTTATTATATTTGTATCTGAGATAGTAAGTAAGATGGCTGGCCAGATCAACATAGCACCTTATGTAACTTGTAATAAGTAAAACTTCTTTAAAAGTAGCTTGCTTGGTATAAGAATATTACATTAAAGATATAGCTATTCTAGAAGCTTATGCTTCAGTAAGAGTTATATTTACTAAGATAAATATTAAATAAGATAACACATTGTATAATTTGGGCATTTCTCCCTTCCCAGTTGTATGAATCATATTAAATATAAACTAACCACAAGATAGATTTATTCATTTTTATTTCCTTGTGTAATTCAGTACCTCCATAATTACTCTAAACTCACTGTTTACAAATCACCAATTAATTCCTGAAACAAAAATTCACTTTTCAGTATAAAACTAAATGTATATTCACTTCTAAAATTTGCCACTGCTGTCTTTCCATAACAGTAGCAGTGGAAATGAAGTGGCTTACTCTATACATGGTGCTGGCAAATACATAGGCAAACTGTTGGGAGATGCTCTAGTTACATTCCTCCTTTATTATTCCTCACCTTATTGCATAATATATTCCTGTACCCAAAGCATTCTACCACAATTCTGTTCAACCCCAATTTGTGATACATCCTTTAAAAATTCTATTTAACCATATCATCCTACTTGCTCACTCACATCAGTTCACACACATACACACACATACACACACACACACACACACACACACACCCCACGCATAAGTCATTGCCTGGTTTTAGGGACTGCTTGTTGCTGCTTCTTACTTTAGCTAATGAACCTCAGGACAACACACGCACGCACGCATGCACACACACAGATCTCAGATATTTGAAGGTGGATTTGGAATCATATTTCTGTGTCCAATAAAGAACTGTCCTGCACTGAAGTCATTGTGACCTTACTAGTTATAAACCAATTCAAATGAACTTGAGCTAATTTCTTTTGATCTAATGAATGTATCTGCTCACCTCATTTCCTTACATTTAATGATAAGCTCCAAGTGGTTGCTACTTTTTGCACAACTTTTACTGAGTTTCATTCACTTCTTAGTCTCTTAATAAATGTACTACAAATATTTCAATAATTTGTTCAGAAGTGGTTTAGCTACCATTCTGCCATTAAAATTTTTAATTGTATTTGCTTGAGCACACTGATCAACCACTGAACTGCCTTCTTCCATTGTCCTGCAATGATATAAAGGTTACATTTTTGTGTATATGGCTTTCATAGTTGGGATTTCAGAGCACTGACACCAGATATTTTTAGTTTGTTCTCTGGGGGAATTTCATTTGCATCTGCGTTTTTAGCTATCTGTGATAACTTGTTAAATATTAAAAAGATATTTTGCTTCTATTGGAACATTTGTATACTCGCAACTATATTTCTGTAAACAGCTGCAGTCAAAAATAAAAAAATGAAAGTTTTCATTTTGCAGTGGGTAACATTCTTTTTTTCCTCATAGTTGTGAGTGTGCGTGTGAATGTCAATTTAGAGAACATGAATATGTGGTTGAAATTATTAAATCATTAGGAAAGGTATATGAGATATAGAAATCTTCTTGAGTAGTTATTTTGTGCCTATCATACATTTTGCTAGGCAGAGTACAAATGACAGTATGACAGAATTTTTATGTTTGTTTTTCTTAGTTTAAATGTTTTATATTTAGTTTGTCTGGTACTGGAAATTGAACCCAAGGGTTCCTTTATCATTAAGCTATATCCCCATTCCTTGTATTTTTTTATTTGTAGACAGGGTGTCCCTAAATTGTTTAGGCTAGTCTTGGACTTGTGATCCTCTTGCCTCAGCCTCCTGAATAGCTGGGATTATAGGCATAAGCCACATGCCCAGCTAAATGTTTTATGTTTAATAAAGCAGTACATTCACGTGAAGGTACTGTTGATAAAAACCAAGTTTCCCTACTCTTCAG